CGTAGTGTATTTCGTGGAAATTAATAGTCATACGAACATTGTTTTGGTGAGTGTCCCACATCAGTATGATTTATCTGACTGGTCTTGCATGAACAGTGAAGTGAAAAACTTTAATAGAAAACTAGTAAGGCTTATGAAGCCTTTCAAGCATGTTAAGGTGGTAAAAGTAGATCCAAAAAGGGAATTATTTACTAAACATGGTCTGCATATGAATGTGGGTAAAGAAAAAGCAGCGTTAAAAATATAATAAAGGTGCGTAAAATATTAAAGATTTTAATAATCTTCCTCAAATAATAAAAATGTTGGCTACTGATGAGAGAAGTTTCTATATCATCATTCTCTTTATTCCATGAATGAATATTATCAACATAATTGTTCGTAAATGTGTAAATATTGTGACGTGAATGGCGCAACGGGAAGTAGGGGTCACGTGAACTCTGCGGTCTTGCGAGTGACGTAACAGAGGAGCAACTGTGTCAGGCAACAATTGCCGCGGTGTTGTTACAAAGGGATACCGCGGTTGCTAAGCAACAATAAACAGCTCCCGACAACGTTGCTAGGAACACCGGTAAACACGGCGACTACGCAACATGGAAGCGAGGTGCGTTTTCCGCTGTCTGGCTGAGGGTTTATAAGAGAACTGGAATGCCTAAGCAGTTCAGTTGAAATATAGCAGCAGTCGCAGTAAGAAGACCCGAACGCGTGGTTACAAGATTTTATGTGACAGTGTGCGATAACTAAGAAGTCAGCGAGTGGAAGACTTATTGTGTGCTTTCAAGACTTTGTGTTTGCTGTAGTACAGTTATATTTGGAGTGTGTAATTCAGATAGACTTGTATAGCTCCCGCGTTTTTAATACGTGAAGACTCTTGAAGATAGAGTGAATAAATTAGTGTGTAGGGTTTGTAAATTGTCCAAACCCGCAACAGAGTTATAATTAATTGTAGTTACGACTTGTAGGTTGTTAAGTAAACCAATTAACAATCCGAACGGCGTCTTCAGTGGCAAAACACGTTACATGTGTGAGGACACGTGCCTTTCACACTGTAGCTACGAAAGCAACGCCCTGTGTTAGAAGTTAAAAAGAAGAGACAGTATTGAAAAATCTCAGTGAGGCGCCTAGAGTACTAAGCAGCGATACGTATATGCTACGAAAAAATGCTAAAAAGAAAAGAAAGTAGAATCAATGCGGGAACGCAGACCACCATAAACACGCCGGATTTTTGTAACATGACCATACACATAAATGACCTGACAGCTAGAGTCAGGCGGTTTGGTGACCTCCTGTGGGAAAAAGAAATTGTAATACACGATTTGAAGAGAAAACAAGAAAAAGCAGACAGGGCTCTATCCCAAAAAGATGAAATTATAAAGGGGTTACAAATGAAGCTGGATGCCCAGAAGAACTGCACAGAGGACGCGAGGCTCGAAGATGCCGCATTCATGCAGGAGACTAAAGAGAAGAATTTTGTTCTGTGTACCAAGAGTAAATATCTGGAAGAGTTCAGCAGCGACGAGGGGGATCTTGAAGACTGGGATGACAGCTGCAGCAGCAGCAGAAGCAAAGAAGGACTAATGACAGAAGAGCTATGCAGAGTAGTATGCAGCATAGTCTACCAGATTAGAAAAGGTTCTTTTAAAAAATCTCTAACGAAGATCCTGGCATTACCTCTTACCATCACTAATATTGAAGGGGTTGCCTGCATTATCCATGACATGGCGAAAAACTACCCGGACTTATCGGAAGTTATGGCAAACCTGAGTGAGGCAATGTTTCGCAAATTGCCTCCTGAAATAGGTACGAAAATGAGAAACTTCTTAGTGAAACGGTGTAGCGATTTCTTCAGGTACCCATATGTTAAACCAAACACGCGGGCAATAATGGAAGGTCTTGACCGAGCAAAAACTTCTTGTGAAAAGAAAATGCTTCAAAGACGCTATAATGAGGATCAGAGACAACGAGAAAAATATATTAACAACACAAGGTTTATTGGTGAGCTCTGGAAGGCCGGAAGTATACAAAGAGAAAAAATACACGCGTGTATTTGCAAGCTAATCTACGTCTGTGACGACTTATCCATGAAATGTTTGTACTCACTTCTTAAAACCGTTGCAGAACACCTTGAGGAAAGTAATGAGGATCTCTCCCATTACTTCAGCGACATAGAAGAGATCTGCAAAATGGAACATATATCCACTCTAGTGAAGTTGGACCTTCAAGACTTGGTCGAATTACGCCAAAATAAATGGAACGGAGAAATATACTAAGCACCCTATCCCATTCCAGCCAGTCGGGGACCGCGGACCAGGATTCGTGGGCAAATACACCAGTATAATGCCGGGGCTCCTTTCGAGAAAATAGCCATTGATATCGCAGGGCCCTTCCCACGAAGCAACCAAGGAAACCGATACCTACTGATCGCTATGGACTACTTTACAAAGTGGCCGGAAGTGTACGCCATTGCAAATCAGGAGGCGTCGACAGCAGCGGAAGTACTGGTTGCCAACTTCTTCTGCCGCTTCGGCATACCTCGGGAGTTGCACAGTGACCAAGGCCGTAATTTCGAGTCTCATCTGCTACAAGAAGTTTTGCAACGCCTAGGAGTCAGCAAGACGCGCACCACGCCCCTGCACCCACAGTCGGACGGCATGGTGGAACGTTACATTAAGATCATCGAGGAGCACTCGTGGAAGGTCGTCGCATCCCACCAGAGGGACTGAGATGAGAGATTACTCCTCTTTCTCCTAGCTTACAGGGCATCCACTCACGACACTACGGGCTTGACCCCTGCTAGCCTAGTGTTCGGACGAGAACTCCGACTGCCCTGCGACTTGCTTTTTGGGGTAGCCTAGGCAAGGAACTACCCACAATCGATTATAGAGCAGACTTGGTGGATCATCTATAAGACATCCACAATTATGCCCGACAGGACCCGAAGCTCGCCAGTGACCGGATGAAAACTCGGTCCGCAGGTTACCACGAGGGTGACAGAGTTTGGCTTTATCGCCCAGCCCGCAGGAAAGGGAAATCGCCTAAACTTCAATCCTCGTGGGAAGGTCCTTACAAAGCAGTAACCCGGACAAATGATGTGGTATACAGAATCCAGAAGAACCCTAGGTCGAGAATGTTGGTAGTACACCTGGACCGGTTCGTGCCTTATCATGGAGCTGCTTGAGACGAGCAACCATAACAAGGGGGCAGATGTAGCAGTTGGAGAAAGGACAACGAGAAGAAAAAGGAACGGGGATGTACCGTTAGGCTGTTCGGGACGAATAACCTTTAGAAGGGAGCAGTGTGACGTGGATGGCGCAACGGGAAGTGGGATCACGTGAACTCTGCGGTCTCGCGAGTGACGTCACATACCCCTACTCCTTCCACCAGTACGCAACGCTCGGTGGGCGCCCCCTCCCCCGCGGTGACGCAACAGAGGAGCAACTGTGTCAGGAAACCATTGCAGTAGTGTTGTTACAAAGGGCTACCGCGGTTGCTACGCAGCAATAAACAGCTCCCGACAGCGTTGCTGTCAACACCTGTAAACACGGCGTCAGGCAACAGCGGTACCTATCACGTAACTGTTTTCTGTGTTATCCGTGCCGAGGCTAAATAAGGAGCAGCGAACACTATTCAGCGAGTAGTGATTAGTTATTGAGTAGTGAGGATAGAGCCAGTTACTAGGAGATAGTAACCAGTTAATTGCAGTCTAGCAGTCGCAGAGTCAGCTTGTATCGAGTGCATGGCAGTGACTACAGCAGAAGTATTTGCGATAATGCCGATGGCAGTAATTGTGAGATTGTAAATTGTGTGACTGTAAGAGAGAGTGGAATAAATTCGCTATATTCAATACGACATTAAGTTATTTGTCTCGTTACATACCCAATACATGACAATATGTAATTCTATTTGCTATTTGCTCCTTCCCTTTAGCGTTTAAGTGAAGACCGTTTCTTGTATATAAATCCCTTTCTAAGTCCACAGTGCAGCACTGGTTGAACTACCAAAATGTGTTATATTTTAGAACACACTCCAGAAAGCCAGGAATATTAAAATGTTACAGATGGACATATACAAAGATGGGTAATATTTAAGACTGTCACTCTGACATGAAAACTATATGACATAACCACTTCCACTGTTATTTAAAAACCATCACCAGAACCATACATGTTATATCTCTTTAGACATAATCACATCATCTGTGTGCTGCAGTGTGAGGGATGGGATGAGGGGCCCTGCAATATACCTGTTCTCAGAATTCAGAAAGTTGAATGTTGCACAAGCCTGCTGTGTGGTTAATACGTCGATGCTGATGCGATGATTTGCCATGAAGGAATGCACATACTTGTTCAACTTTGGGCTATTCCTCACATCTCCTATTCCCAGAACAAGGATATCTGAAAATTCACACACTGTCATATGAACAACTGCAGTAATCAGAATCTGCAACATTTGACAGAAGCAGCTCATCTATACAGCTGAAATGTCTGAGGCTGAAAGGATGAATACATATAGATATGTTGAATGCATGAATGCATGTGGGCCACTCAAAGGCAAAGGTGGGTCCTGGGCACAATGATTTTAGCACCATTCCTCTACATTTTTTAAATGACTTTATAGTTTACTGCCAATACAAAATTTACACGTATATTACGAAGAGTGAGAAGGCAGGAAAAGATTAGATACACATAACCTAAAAATAAAAATATTCTGGGAAGAACATGGACTGCCCAGAAAACGACATCTCCAAAAATTTGTCATACGAAAATGTCTACACAGCGCCTTTGCCTAGCAACAATAGAGAGATGGATAGAAGGATCCATAGATTCATGTAACACAAGGGAAAAGACGAGTCCAGCAGTTCTTCTGCACTGTATACAAGGAAATGTCTCGTTGCGTGTTCAAATTTAAATTAAAGTAGAGTCTCAGTTAAATTTTCCCGCTGGATCAGCCATAGAAGCACAGATCGCAGTAGTTCGGTGGTCACTCACGGTCGCGGAAGCTCTTTGGAGTGAAGGTGGGTTGATTGTATTAACTTTTGTTCGCATTGGTTAGGGGAAGAAGTTGTGTTTGCGATATTAGGGGTACCGTGGTTTGGTTTATAGTGGCTTCAATGGAATCACTGTTGGTAAGTTACCTTTGTTCAAATAAATACAGTTTAAATAATATATGTTACTTCGTCATATTGATTATCCAGTGTGGGTTGTAAGATTTTGAAATTGTATTTGAAGATGCGATATTGTGTATGAGGTTAGGTTGCGTGATCACATGTCAGCAGAATGGGTTTTAATCGTCATAATTGTAGTTTTAGGCCATTACTTGTATGATTCTTGACATTTAAGCCCAATATCTAGCAATCTTATAACAGAAAGTAATGTGAAGTCATCTTGGATATCCAACTTAATAGAGACGATTGTAACATATTCAACAGTGTCGTTAAATTCAGTTTGTAGCCATATATTCGCTATTTCAAACCTTACGTACGCACCTTATATGTATTAATTGGTAGTTCAGAATTATCATTGGTTGGGCAACCAGATTTTTTGTTTATTTATGTTTATCAGTTGTTCTTTTTTTTTGTTACAGGAGGACCCCTTTTAAGTTGGATACCCATAACAGTGCAACATTTTGATTAACAGCAATTCCGAAGGTTTATTTAGGAAGATGAGTAATGTGGTTGAAGTTGTAGTAACAAGTGAGGGTTCTGGACAGCTTTGGAATGCCTGTGTGTGGGATCCACGTGTAGGATCTCCCTTGATGACATACAGAGGTGGTGGAGTGGCTGCACCACATTCGTTATGTTTACTGGGAAAGGATTATTTGATAATAAGTGATCATACAAAGCCAGTGCTACATGCATGGCAACTTAACAGCCAACAACCAGTTCTGGCAAAAGGTGTACGATTAGTGTGTCCTGGATGTGTCACTTCAGTGGCTGTTTCTCCTGATGGTTGTTATTGTGTGACTGCAGTTGCTGAGAAGCTGCATGTGTGGCAGATAGCTTCAGGTCGTCATCTTGCAGTGGCTGTACGCCACTTTCAGTCAATAAGTTGTGTTCGTTTTACTGATGATGGTTCACACTTTGTGTCAGGTGGAGAAGACGGACTTGTACTTGTTTGGTCACTAGCTTATTTAGTATCAAATAATGCAGGTGAAATGATTTCAGGTCAAAATGAACCTCGCCATGTGTTCGCAGACCATTCTCTGCCAGTGCGAGACTTATATGTGGGGCCTGGTGGCATGAGGGCACGCCTTATTTCTGTATCAATGGATAGAACTTGCAAATTGTATGATTTGGCTTCGGGAAATCTTCTTTTGTCTGTTGTATATGATTGTCTTTTGTCAGCAGTAACAATGGATACCACTGAGATAGAAGTATTTGTAGGTGGTAGTGACAGTAATATCTACCAGTTTGGATTACATTCCCCACCACGTATGCAAGAATATCATCTCTCAAAAGAAGAGAAGTCTAAAAAGTTTGCAGGGCATACCAAGGCAGTGACATGTTTATCTGCATCTGTTGATGGTGTCACATTGCTGTCTGGCTCGTTGGATAGTGAAGTAATGTTGTGGCATATTCCAAGCAGGCAGTGCATGAAGGTTTTACATCATAAGGGTCCTGTCACAAATGCATTCTTCACCCTTGCACCAAAATGCATTTTCTCAGAAGAAATGAAACCTACTCTTGTGTTACGTAGTTTTCAGAAGAGTTCAGATCTAAATGAAGAAGGAACTGTGGCAGTAAGTATCCAGATGACCCAGGATAAGTGGTATGGAGTTGATGATTATTATTATTATGATAGTAAATCTGACCACATGGCTGTAACCTCCAGTACTACTGAAGACAGTGGATTAAAGGAACAAATTATTTCACTGAAAAAGATTAATTCTGACCTCTATGGGTTTGCACTAGAGAAGATTCTGCAACCGTTTAGCAGTAACCAAACTGAGGATGTGAAAAGTAACAGATCAAATTCAACCCAACCTGCAGCTTCAAAATCACTAATGAAGGCTCAGAAGTTGAAGAAAAAGAAGTCTAAGAAGTTGAATAACTAATACAGTCCTTGTTTACAGGTTTTGTAGACCTTGAGTACTTGAATATCCTACATGATTGAGGAGTATCCCAGTCTACTGAGTACGGTTTCTTTGCTTGTATCTGGCTACAATTTGAACTCAGGCCACGGTGTAACCTGCTACATGTAATACAGAATTCATTGAATTTTGTTAAAATACATGGGTATTGAAACATTACTTGTTTAAATAAACACATTTATGCTTCTATTTATTTTTGTGTATGTATATACAGTGTGATCATATCAAAGCTTACCATATATCACTGAGCTTCTCATCCATAAGTGTCTGTCCCTAGCTGAACAACTAAGATTCACACTGCTTGTAGGGTCAACAAACTGGTGTCCCAGCCAGTTGCAAACAAAACAGATTACAGCAAATGTTGGAAATGTGCTCTATTGTAGTTTTCACAAGAATGTTGAAGTTTAGCTCCAGTTTCATCTTTACTGCGTGGGGGAAGAAATGCTGCATACTTACTGAAGATAAATTGGATGTAATTGATTCCAGGCTTAAATATTCTCAAATAGCTCTCACGTTCCTTCCACTGGAGCAGAGGGTTACAACTTTACTCAATTTAAAAATAATGTGCATTGATCTGATCTTATGGGGTTGTATTGTATTGTATTCTTATGGAGGTCATAGATGCATGCATAAGAACAAGCATGAATGTGAAGGGGACCCCAAAAAAAACGGAATTTGTTTTTAGAAGGCGGGTTGTTTGTAGTATAGGTTTCCACTGCTAGGTATTTATTTGAAGCACCTTCCTGATTCAGTATGCTGGCTGGTGTTGTCAGAAAAGTTTGCATTAGTGTTTGGTGAATTTTTTCCAAGTGACTTTTTTATAATTGGTCTATTTTTTAATGGCTGATTGACACGAACAATGTGCTACTGTGAAATTTTTATTCCTTTTTGGGAAAACAGCAGCAGAAACGGTTGTTATGTTACAAGCAGCCTACAAGGAAGCCGCCATGAGTAAAACACAAACGTGTTGAAATGTCAACTGATGATCAAACTCGAAGTGGACGTCCTTCGACCACCCGAACTGATGAAATTGTGACAAAAAATCGTCAAATCAATTCTGGAAGATCGCCGGCAGACAACTGATGAAGTTTTGAAAAAGTTGGGTTCCCCCTTTTAGATGAATGACTGCATAAGGGGTGGACCACAATTATCAGGTCCTTGCACTGTGAACTTCAGTGATCTGTTGTGCTTCCCCTTCTAGTTACCCCTTAATTGTACTCTTCGAATGAAATGTAGGACTTTCATATAGGGGCGTCATAGCAGTCATTTGGTTCTGTAAAAAATTGGCCCAATGTTATCTGTCAGTCCCAATTGGAAAAAGTGTACTTTTAGGTATCCCTTGTCACCACGGCATGGCACGTCCTCAGGTTGTGAATGGAGGAGATGCCCTCCAGATATGGAGGGAAGCTGCGAATATATTGAATAAGCAGTCACAGACAGCCGACAAAGGGTGGTCTTCCAGCTTTGGCTTGGGCGTGGGGCTAACAACTTGTCACCTTAAAAATAATCTTATTATGGAAATTCTCAAGAAGCCTCGGACCCGGATGGATTCCTTGGATAAACGACCTATGGTAAAGAAAATGGACATAAGATTCAGTACATGGAATGTTAGAAGTATGTATAGGGCAGATTCACTCAGAGCAGTGGCAGAAGAAATGTTAAGAAGTTAGATTTAGCAGGAGTACAGGAGATCAGATGGGATGGAGGTGGCATTGCACCAGCAGGCGAATATACGTTTTCTTGTGGAAAGGGGCAATGAAAATCATGAATTAAGTACAGATTCTTTCGTATATAAGAGAACTGTATCAGCAGTTAAGCGGATAGAGTTCGTTAGTGTTAGGATATCACATGGTGGCATATTTGCTCTATGCAGGAACTGTTGAGTCACAGAGGCCCGGGAGCACATGCACAGTGTGAGAGTTGTGGATTGTATCGATGCATTGTTAAGCAATAACTGTCAACGCTTGCCTAGCACAACAGGAAGTGCCAGTGACGTCACACACCCTCACCCAGACGTCGCTATGCGACGCTCTGTAAACACCCCTCTACGCTATGCTGTGATGACACACAACAGTGGTAGCTATCACGTAACTGATTTCGATGCAGTCTGTTGCTGGCCAATAGCTCAGTAAACACGTTCCATCTATATAGGCTGTTTTCCATGTGGTCAGTGCAGAAGCTAGATAACGAGTGTATTCATCAGTGTTGAAGCAGTTAGGATGAGTCACCCGTGTGGAGGCAGCGTCAAATACTTGCACTGTGACCCTGCGAATTGTAGGAGGTGACAAAAAGTGAAGTCTCAAATCTGAGACAGTAAAATATGGTCACAAGTCCCAAGGGACTCGGACCCGAGAAAAACTATGCTGGCAAGGGCCAGCAGCATATGCAAAAGTCAGACCCATCCTCTCATTAGAGGGGGGTGCCCCACAAAAACAAGACCATAACTGTCAAACAGTAATAAATATCTGGTCATGAGCCTCAGGTGGGGCTTGACACCAAGACTTAATGACTGACTGACCGTCAGTCGCAATGTGACTTTGACTTTGACTTGTTGAAGCAGTTACGAGTAGTTGAGAGTGGTGAAAGCAAGGGAAGTGGAGCAAGGAATACAGAAGGTCGCCTGTGAGGATGTCACGTGTGATTTAGAAGACTTCATGTGTGATGGCGTGTGCAACAGTGGATTATAGGTTTATGTAAATCATCGATAGCGCTGTAATTTGAGTGTAATTGAGTGAGTGCGTGTAACCAAGTTGTTAATAAATCCAGTTATCCGGCAGAACTTGTTCTGGCAGGAGGCGGAATATTATGTTCTAAGATCCATAAGCTAATTCTATTTGGCATAAGGAAAAATTTCTTGATCAGTGGAAGGAATTTGTTATTGTACCAGTTCACAAGATGGGTGATAAAACTGGCTGTAGTAATTATCAGGGGATATCACTGCTATCAACTTCATACAAAATTTTATCCAATATTCTTCTCTAAAGGTTAAGCCCATGCATATGAAATTATTGGGGATCATCAGTGTGGGTTTCAACATAACAGACCAACTACAGATCAGATCTTTTGCATTCGTCAGATATTGGAGAAAAAATGGGAGTACAATGACGCAGCACATCAGCTATTTGTAGACTTCAGGAAAGCCTATGAATCAGTTAAGAGGGAAGTACTGTACAATATTCTGGTAGAGTTTGGGATACCAAACCAGACCAGAATGGTCTAAGACAAAGGGATGCTTTATTGCCACTCCTTTTCAACTTTGCTTCAGAATATGCCATTAGGAAGGTTCAGGAAAACCAGGTGGGAGTGAAATTAAAGGGGGCACATCAGCTGTTGGTCTATGCTGATGATGTGAATCTACACAAAGTTTAATTGATGCAAGTAAGTTGGTCTAGCAGTAAACACAGAGAAAACTAAGTATATGTTACTGTCTCGTCAACAAAATGCAGGGCAAACCATGATATGAAGATAGAAAACAGATGTTTTGAAAGTGTGGCATAGTTAAGATATTTGGGAATGATGATGATAAATCAAAACATGATTGAGGAGGAAATTAAGAGGAGATTGAACTCGGGTAATGCTTGCTACCATTCAGTTCAGATCCTTTTGTCTTCTCTTCTGCTGTCCAAAAACAAAAAATTAGAATATACAAAACTATAATTTTGCCTGTGGTTCTGTATGGGTGTGAAACTTGGTCTCTGACATTAAGGGAGGATTGTAGACTAAGGGTGTTTGAGAACAGGGTGTTGAGGAGAATATTTGGACCAAAGAGAGGTGAAGTGACAGGAGGTTGGAGAAAACTGCATAATGAAGGGCTTCATAACTTGTACTCTTCTCCAAGTATAATTAGAATGATGAAGTCAAGGAGGATGAGGGGGGCAGGGCATGTAGCACGAATGGGAGAGAATAGAAATGCATATAGGATATTGGTGGGAAAGCGATAAGGAAAGAGACCACTGGGAAGACCAAGGCATAGGTAGGTGGACAATATTAAAATGGATCTTAGAGAGATATGAAGTATGATGGGATGGTATGAATTGGATTGATCTGCCTCAGGATAGAGACCAGTGCAGAGTTCTTGTGAACACAGTTGATCAGCCCCTCCCCTCTTAACCCACTTAGAAAGGGGTGGACGCCGCTTTCGTTCCTGGTTCATTTACGTTGTTTCCCAATGCCTTTATCCCCGAGATAGTGGGGTGTACAAGCTGTATGCCTTGACTGCCGATAGCTAGGAAAATCTCCAGATAACAAGATTAACCTATGTGTAATATAACAAAGTTAAGCAATACAATAAAATAGAAATACAGACTCTACTCGCGACGCCCAAACAGCGACGTCGCGTATTTAGGAGGGGATCTCTCGCCCTCAGTGCCCATAAAAAAGACAAAAAAGAACAAGATGAGCTTGAATTAAGAAAAAACAAAGCTCCAAACAGAATTTCGCTCAGTTACCACATTGACGGTGAGACACTCCGTCATAGTCGCGAGAGATACGAGTACACTTGTTACAAGTCAAATACAGCTCGGCTTTAAAGTCGGAGCAATACAAAAAATGCCAGGCAAGATAAGATAAATGCTCCAAAAACGCTCAAATTAGCTACCACTTGTCCCAAAACCAAGGGAGACGTTACACTTCCCCAGCCAGAAGAAGAAACCCAAACCGAATTTAGACCAAATCCAAACAGAAGTTCGTCACCTCCTTCTCTGACTGCTAGTAACCGAGTGGGGTTCTATCGCGTTCTATCGTGCGCTCCTTCCTGAAACCCCGAACAAGCTAGAAAAAGCTGGAGGGGAAATGATGGGATCATGTGGTAAGCATGGACGACAACATTCTAGAACACTAGAACTCTTTGGGAAAGGTTGAAGGGGGGGGGGCGCCGCAGACAGCCATGATAGTAAACATGGCTCAGTCTCTCCCCCTTCACAGTAGAACAATCTGTTCTAGGTCACAGCGAAACGTCCGCGTCTTAATCCCGAACTCATGAATTTTCTCCACCACTGTCACACACTGAATACACTGTCAGAACATCGCTCGCCCCACCGTGGTCCGAAATGATGAACCCGGCTGCGGAAATCACAAGTTCACCACATACAGCAGTCCACTACCACCGTCGCCCTCAATACGTCGACCCACTACTCCCGGGCTCCGTACAGCCTCCAGGGAGTTTCCAGCAGTCCGAAGTGATACGCACGGCTG